GTTTAATTGATTGAAATGTAAAAGTTGATTTGTTGATTTCAATCTGCATCATATTGAAGGCAAAAGACCTGTTGAAGGTACACTTTCGCAACGCTAAACTCAAAATCGCAATGCGAAAGACAAAATCGCAACGCGAAAGTCAATTTGCGTTGCGATAGTCTAATACGCTTTGCGATTTTCTCGTTGCGATAGTCAAATACCCGTTGCGATAATCAAATTCGCGTTGCGATACTCAAATTCGCGTTGCGATAGTCAAATTCACGTTGCGATTTTCTCGTTGCGATAGTCAAATAGCCGTTGCGATAGTCAAATTTGAGTTGCGATAGAGAAATTCGCGTTGCGATTTTTGCGTTGCGATAGTTAAATTCGCGTTGCGATATTCAAATGAATGTGTAATAAGTGATAACAACTGAATAGATCATAGCAATGTTCAATCTCAAGTTACTAATACATGCCTAACTGAAAATGTTAAAAGTTTACACATAATACAACGTTTGCATTTAAAAATCACCTAAGTTTATAGTCCCAAAAGGTAAAGCCGGTTGTGATTGGGATTTTGATTTTGATTGCCTTTTTCTTGACACCATATGAGCTTTGGATTTTGATGAGGATCCATATTTTGGTAGAGGAAAAGATGATTGTGATGGCACTGGTGATCCACATGTCAACCTTGTATGACCACTTTCCTTGCACCGACTACATGTCGATCTCTTCTTCTCTTCACCCTTAAACGGTATACGATCGTGACTTTTTGGTCGGCCAGGTAGCCTTCTGTCCATGGCTAGTGGAAAAACTGTTTGTAAGTCATCTGGTATGTCCCACTCAAAAGGATGTGGAATAGGGTAGATAATCTCGGCATAAGTCTGTCGATATACTTCTGTAGTGTAGCAATCCATAGCGTATGCGATTGAATCATCTTGGTTTAGATGAAGAGCAACTTTTATAACATGCCCACACAGATAACCAGATGTTTGCCATTTCATACAACTACACGTCTTTGCATTTAGATCGACAAGCCCATTTAAGTTATTATCCAGTACTTCAAACAAAGTGTTTGAACATGGTTTAACTCTCCATGACGTTGACTTCACAACACGTTTCGTTATCTTTTTTTTCAGTCCATGGTGTAACACGATGTTCCAATGTTCCTGTAAATTTAAATAAATAATACTTAGTAAAATATATGATAAGTTACGAATTTAAAGAAATAATACATGCATGGTTTCTTTTCTTGTAGTACCACTGTTGAATAGAGGCTCGAAAAAACTCCATTAACATAGTAATGGGTAATTTTCGGGAATGACGACTTAGAGCGTTTATTGATTCTTCACTACTAGACGTCATGAAACCATATCTTGCTCCAAGTTGATGTACTCTTGACCATCTTTCAAACCTGACATCTTCTAGTGTTTGAGCACACTGAGGCAAAACACGTCTTAAACAATTTATATACTTATTAAAATCCACTTCCCGATAAGCTTTTACAGCCTTCCAGTATGTCCATTTGTGATTTTTTATACCAGCAGACCTTGATTTTAGATTTCTATATAAATGAACACCACAAAGTCCATGAAAAGCATCTGGGAAACACCTTCTAACAGCGTTGTCAATTGAGTTTGCCCTATCGGGATATGATTGTCAGATTGCTAATAGGACTTATGTAATCCCTAAGATGCCCCATAAACCATGTCTATGAATCAGAGGTTTCAGATTTGCCAACCCCGTAAGCTATTGGCAGTATCCCATTGTTAGCATCTATGGCTACTGCTAATAAGTTTACTCCAAGGTTTCGACCTTTTAAATGTGCTCCGTCAACTATAATAACTGAGCGCATGCAAGTAATAAATGAACGAATCTACAAAATCATATACACAAGAAATATAATCATTTAAATGTGAAATGCATGTAACTAACAAAAATGAGTCAACAAAATTATATTGATTTACTAACCGCAGCACCAATGGCGATAAACAACAACTCAAAGCGTCCATCTCTATCTGTTTTGATATGAGTTACCGACCCTGGATTTTTCAGCTTTAAATTGTGACAATAAGCCGGCAGTTGGGCAAACAATGCTTCTGGTGACCCCCTCAACAATTCCTAGGCATAACATTTGGCTCTCCAAGCTTGAGAATATGAGATACTAATCTTGAACCGAGCATTCATGTCAGTCATAATTTCATGTCCCCGATATACCCTGCCATTCAAAAACATTAACTCAGCCAGAAAACCACCCAACACCTTTTTGTTTGCCTGTCTACAGTGAGGAAAAACTTGGGTTATTGAACATGTATGTTTATCAATAAAAGTCCCTAACTTGAAACATTTCGTAATCTTTTATCCTCTTTGCAATCATACGCCACGTACAATTTTTGTCAATCATACACCTTGTTTCGAAACGATCTTTGCTTGATTTGTTAACTTTTAGTTGATAGCCATCTTCCACACATTTCGTATACAAAGCTATCTTCAAGTCTTCCTTTGTATCAAAGCAATCATCTTTCTTGATACGAATAATTTTTGTGTAACAATCAACTGCTATTTTTACCAACTCTTCTTCCGGTATCTGAAGTAATTCTGGCATATTCCAGTTATACTCCTGTGGCATTTTCTTCGGGGACTTTTCTTCGGGGATTTCTTCTTCTTCTTTTTCTTCTTCAGGGTTATATGAATTACAGAATGGATGTTCAACATGTTCATTCACAGTCGTAACTTCCTCCTCATTATCATCAACAACATCTTCCTCGGTAGCAGCTGTTTCATCATCAAAATTCGGTTATTGATCAATATCAAAATCATTACACGCAGGGTCTGTTTCTTCTTCTGAAACATCATCAAAATCCGAGTATTGACCAAGATCAAAGTCCGGGTATTGACCAAGATCAAATTTCGAATACCGACTAGTACTCACAATTTTTTATGTTGGCTCATCATCGTCTAACTGGTTAATACGAAAACCGGAATTTGGTGCTGAAAGTTGATTGGGATTTGGATTAGGGAAAGGTTGTGGGTTTTGAGATTGTGACCATAAACTGGGGTTGAAAAACTTAGTTGATTACTACCCGCTACTGACCCAACTTCACTGCTTCTAGGTTCAACAACATACAATGTAACATCATCTTGTGAAACACTAATGTAAGCAATGAATCGTTCAACATCTTCATTGTCGGTTAACAAATAAACTTTACCTTTTCTCTGATAAGATAGCCTAAATCCACTTAAGGGCTCTAAATTCAATTTATTTGCAACACGTAACATTAGAGTTTCATAAGTTAACTTTTTTAATGACAGTTTTAGTTGAAGATTCATAGGTAAAGGCATATATTGTAAAACACCATGAACATTCTCCCATGACCCTCCAAAACACAAATCTATCCAAACAAGATCAACATTAGATGATTTCATTATTGTAAATTAATTTACTAAACAAACGAGCTGCGAAACTAAAACCTGTTGCCGGATGGGGAAGGATGTCGTTGGATATAAGAACGGATGTCGCCGGAGAGAGTGATAGATGGAGATGAAATGAGTTGCGATTTAGGGATTTAGGTTATGAGTTGCTTCTGCTGCGTAGTTATATACCCAAAACATTTGTGTTGCGAAACTAAAACCTGTTTCGAATTTGAAATTCAGTGTTGCGACAGTCAGAATCGCGTTGCGATAGTCAGAATCGCATTGCGATAGTCATAATCGCATTGCGATTTACATATTCGCATTGCGATAGTCAAAAAATCGCAACGCGAATTTGGAAAATCGCAATGCGATAGTCATAATCGCGTTGCGAATCTGGAAACTGATTTGCGATACCGGAGATCGCGTTGCGAATTATCGATCGCATTGCGATTTAGTTGGTCATTTTGGCAAATCCAAAAAAAATTGATTAAAATCGTATATTATAAGGTATTTTTGGTCACTGAGGTTATTTTCTCTATATTAAATTATATAACAATTCCAATGATTTAGTTCTTCAATAATCTTGCGGTCCAAGGACTTAACTATACAAATCAGTTAAGACAAAATCTTTTATTCGCTTAATAAAAATACGTTAGTTTGTTCTTTCGTTAAACAATGTGATAATAACGGATCAAATTGTTCAGCCGACTATAAATCATTCAATCATCAAATAAGTTATCTTTAAACAAAGCTAAAAGTAATATGTTATCTTGTTGATATTCATTGTTTTGGATCTTTATATTGAATTTGGACACGAGGTTTTATGTTTACGAATAGTTTATTGTGATATTCGGCTCTAATTTACAGTTTTCAATGATCTTTTAATAGTTTAATTCCCTTTTGTGATTCGTTTACCGATACAATTAAATTTGCTCATATATTTTTTTCCGAGTCTTTTGAATAAGTTTTTAACCTTCTTCATTTATGGTTCTTGTATAATTTAAAGTGTCTAGTTTCTTGTGTCAATATAATAGCAAAATGATCAAATTATATATTTAGTTTACGATGATATTTATAAACCCTTATTATAATATTAAATATTTTTATCTTCTTATAATAAGATTAACCGTTTCTATTCACAAATAATAATTTTTGAGATGATTTTGTCGATCTCTAATTCAAAGAACAAACAAATACCATAGTAAAAAATTTAAAATAAATGTAAATCTCATAATTTATATCCGCACATAGATTCAAAGATAAATATAAAAGACTGATTAAAATAAAAGATGTCGAAATATGCATAAGGTTAGAGAAGGAACAAGGAGTCGAATTAGAGATGTTTCTGGTATGATTCCACTACACTTTTAAAAAGAATCCTAATACAACCAAAATCAAAGATTAATATAGAATTCCTATGAGTTTAACCTCAGCGTAAACACATATGTTAAATCCAATTTCGCCTTACAAATTGGACTTTTGAAGTAAAAAGAAAAAGTAGACCCAATTTTTAAGACAACTTTTCACGTCATAAAACAAACAATAAAAAGAGTGAAATGAAGAATTAGTTTAATTAATTAATGCTGATGGTTGGTATGGATAAACAACTAGTGTTGTTTGTGGGAAGCAAAAGGGTTTTCATCTTGAAAATTCCCATGTGGATCGTAGAAGCATATAATAAAGACGCCACCCCTTGCACACTTGGCTCGGCCGCATCCTACATTTACCGTATCCCTCCACACAATCTGTGTATAATGGCCGCACATTTTCCCGGGCCGACAAGCATTCTTCTTCTTGTCGTAATACTTCTCCTCAGCCACCCATGATCTGACGGCTTTAGCGATGCTCCAGTGGCTTTTGGTGGCCCTGAAGATGTTCTCGCCATAGGTTCCATCGGAGTGGATGAGAAGGCAGTCATTGACGCGTTTATTCGCCCAGTTACGAGCGTAGTTGGCAAGGTTTTCATCCCAGACGTAGAATGATTCAGACTCGTGAGGTTGAGCCTCGTTTTGGGCCTTGTCTTATCTCCGATTAAGGAAGGAAAGACTTTGGGTAACGGTGGGGCCTTCGAGGGTGATGGTAGGGCGGTTGGTCGGGGTTTGGCCTTCGAGGGAGAGGGCGTGGTCGGTGGATGGGGTGTCTTATTGAATTTCTGTGCCGAAAAGCCGGGGAAGTTAAAGCAATGGGGGAAAGATGGGAAAAGGATGATGAAAAGCAGGGCGTTCCCCATTCCTCACGACATTTTAGGATTACCATCAAATTCTCTCTTTTCACCGTGTTTGTCCTATATAAGAAGCAACCCCTTTTAGTTAATTACTTAATTAAGCTCTTAATCACTTGCGAATCTCAAATAGTATATATATAACTATTTCTATGCCGACCCGACTTTAGGGGTGAACATTCATTCCAATTGAGTTCAGTAATTTTTTTTTGAGTTATTCAACTCGAAGAATAGTATTTTATGACTATAACTTAATTTGAATATTCTAGAGTCGAGTTTAAGAAAGTCGAGTTGTTCGAGTTTCTATACAAATTTTCTAAATTTTTGACTTTCTCAAACTATATATATATATATGGGTTATGATCCACTTATTTATGTAAAACTCTATTAGTTTTAAACGCTTTTAAGATTGTTGGATGAGGAAAAACCAAAAGCTTTTATATATATATATATATATATATATATATATTTCTTCATATTCTTTTCATATTATAATTTTAATTAATATATCATATACAATCTAAAATTATAAAATATATTTACAATACTATATTTCAAAAAATATATTTGAGCATAAAAGATTGATGGAAGTATAAATGAGTAAAAAATTGATGTGAAGAAAGAATTTATAAATAATTGTAGTCAAAAGACCAAATTGAGTAAAATGCAAAGAGAACTAGTTGAGGGACTAAATTAGAAAAAATAATACATTTTAGTAAAAAAAAGTAGGAATTGAAATTACATAGATATTTTGTAGTTGTAGGGGAACATGTGGTTTAAATTTGGTAAAAAATGTATTTAAAATGAAGGATAAATTGAAGAAATATGAAAATCATACAAAATTGATGTACTAAATTGAAAAAATAGAAAATTTGTTATCAAAAAGAGGAATTGAAAGTACAAATGTATTCATTCTATGATGGATTAGGAGCATGTGATTCAAATTTGGTGAAAATTTTGAGTTAAAATGAAAGAGGAATTGAAGGAATAGGAAATCACATAACAAATCTCAAATCTATCAAAATAGTCATCTAAATTTTTTATTTTTCAAGTTACTCGAAATTTTAAAATTTCAACTTGACTCAAACTCGAAACCTGAATCGATAATTCGAGTTGACTCGAATAATTCAAAACTAAAAAATCAATTTTTCAAGTCGAGTCGAATTTTGCTCACTCCTATCCGGTCCTATTTGATAGGATTATAAATTTTAAAGGAAAAGGATTTAGGTCCGATCGAATTTTATAGAGGGTTGAATTTAGATTTAAGGTGAAAAACCTCTTACCCAACTCAAGGTAATTTTTCTATAAATTTAGGAATAATTGTCATAATACTCTTCTCTCTGTAGTTTATTTTTAATACTCCTTAGTTTACTGAATAAAAATATTTTTCATATATTTATGTTGGACTAGATACGAGTTCTTATCTCAAAATTTAGGATTGTATTAGATTCAAGTGTTAAGGAACATACTCCTTAGGTTAGGTCTGGTGGACAGTGCATGCTTTCGGGTTGGATCATGTTAGAGTGAAGTGTTAGGAGGTTAAGTCGAGTCAACCAAAAACCCTACTTATTATCATCTCTATTCATGTATTTCCACATGTCTTCAAAAACATGAGATGATTTCATCGGCTTTCTTTATTTGATCACATTTACCTGTTATCATTTGTGGTATTTTTTTTATTCATTGATGGCATGGGAAATCGATGGAATAACTTTATTTGGATGGGAGTCAAAGGGAAGGCTTATTCTAGAGTCAAATTGTCTAGCTGCAGTAAAATGGATTAAAAGTCCCGGTTCTTACATTCATTTGTTTGAGTGTGTGGTGAAAGAAATTGTTAGTGTTGTGTTAAAAAGGGGTGTTGTTGTAAGGCATATAAAGAGATTGGCTAATCATGAGGCAGATGAGTTTGCTAAGTTAGGGATTGGGTAATTTTGTGCGTCTGATGTATGTTTTCTGGTTTTCTATAGCGTGGAGGTATTCTGGTTGTAATTGGTTAATATAAACTCTGGATGTATTTGGTATTTCAGTAATAAAATTTTGAGCCACTTTTTTTCTCCTTCCAGTGATCGATGAGCTATTTCTGTGGCTTGACGATTATGAAAGGGGTTTTTAATGAGACCTATCATTTTTATCAAAAAATAATGGAATAACTTTATTTTTGGAGTGCATTTCTTTATCCTTCTTTTGTCGAGGCCATGGGAAAGGGTTAAGAAGCTTATTGTTGATTGAGAAAAGGTTAAAGCATCCAATATCCACACAGAATACAAGAATTCTCAACAATGATTTGCAGGGCAATATTAATGTTACACTAGAATATGCAGCAAATAGTATAATAGCTTGTGCAACAGAGTTCCAAAATGGAGTACTTTTAACTACAAAGGTTGGGTATGCAAGCACCCCCTTCAGGGTTTTGTTGTTCTTTCCATATTCGCCCCGTTACTCGCAGCTTCAGCTCTTTTCTATCCCCACCGGAGAAGAAAAGTGCCATGTTACGCTGTATGATAAGGCCATCGTGGCCATCCCTCACCTTTAGGTGGCTATCTCTTATGCTTCTGGGGGTGCCTTCCCAAATGAGTTTCCTGCCATTGCCCCCAACTTCTAGGCTGTAACTGTAGTTGCGGGCTTCGGTCTCATCTCCCATGAAACGAAGGAATGCCATATAAACTGGGGCCATCCCGAGTTGGAAGGCTTCGAAATGGAGACAAAAGTACTGGCCAAAACAGTGGAATACCTGACCATACATGCCATATAAATTACCAAACTCATGTGGTGAAGCAAAGAGAGCAAGCACAAGAGTGAAGATTTACTTCTGGCAAAACCATGTTCCATGTATAAGGATGAAATAGATTATCGGCAAGATATATTTCATTTTCAATCATCTATAAATTATACAGTTCAATTCTTAATCAGAAGGAAGATGCTTTAAAACGAATGTAACTCACAGTAAGCATCCAGGTGGCATTTTCTACTTCCCGAGGATTGGACTTGACATAACGATGGTTAAACGTGCACCCAGAATGCATGTCCACCTTGTGGTCATCCCTTAGATGAGCAACAAGAAATGGTATATCACCAACAACAGCACATTCTGATCCAGCATATGGGCAATTGTATGGCCTGAAGTTACATAGGGCCTCATGTTTGAGTTTACCATAGTAGGGAAAGATCTCTGGGCATCCGAGTGACGTATATTTGCAAGGCAGTTCAAGTGATTCAGCTACCTTCTCTAGTGCTAGACACCTAATATCACCAAGCTCCTGTCTACAAGTGGGACATCGATTGTGTACCCTTGTTTTACAGGCTGAACAGAGGGTATGCCCATTGTGGCACTGAGGAACAACAAATGGTTAAAACGCCTATAATAAGGTACCAAATCATTTCAAGCAGCTAGATCCGCTCCACACAAGACAATGACAAATCCAGTACAATAGCACTAGTAGCATTTAAAGGGCATTGGAAAGCTCTATTGCACAAAACAAATGATATAGAAAATAGAATCGAGCAATTGACATGTGCAATTTAAGAAACTGGTACAACTTTGGGACCATTTTTAGATCAATATGTTCTATCAGCATACAACAGGCCAAACATAAAAACATGCAGTTGTACCATGTCTAAGCAAAAAAATACAATATGCCAAAGTCTCGGCATCCCACCAGGGGCCCCCAAAAGAAAGGACGAAAGTAAAAAGTGTGTTTTAAACATCGTCGAAGCCTAATGACCAGCCACCTCACCGTTTGCATGCTAATGCAATGCACTCATAAGGAGAAAGGAAAAAGAATGAACAGAATTTACTTGATTTCAAGATAACGCTCCATCGAATGAAACAGAAAATGCTAAGACACTCTTCAATTTTCATAGCTCTAAACACATTTTATCAGCATTGCTCATCCTGTAGGTGAAACTACTATTCTATTTTTTTCTGTGAAATAATGCAACTTGAAAGATATCCATCTCTAGTTTTCTCGTCTCACAAAACATCCTAGTGAACTCTCATGGGAACAGACATTGATTCTTAAGTTTTTGCCTATCCAGATAGTATTTAGTTTCCTTTTTAATTTCACCTTAGCCTCTATAGAAAGAGAGAAAATGAAAATCACTTAAAACCTCACACTTCTATTTTCTACTATCCTTCTGAAACCAACATGCACACAGGCCACTCCTGTTTACAGTCCGTAGTTCGCTATGCCCGATTAGAAAAGACTTCCTTACTAATAGAGGGAAATATAGGTAGAAAACTTCCTCGTGTGTTTGATCCTTCCCTATACTACTCATGGAAAAGCTGTTAGAGGTCATCTTCATTCTCATGTTCACTTCTATCAAACCGAGGCAGTAAGCACCTCATAGAAAGGGTTGATAAGAAAACCAAGACAAAGAATACAACTTGATGAAACCACACATTTATCTGCCTTTAGTCTTGATCCCCCAAATGAAGTGTACATCTAAGTAAACCATCAAAACAGAACTAAAGAAATTCCAAAAGTCGAATTCACAGAAGATGTAACTTTAGACTCATACCATCCTCAAGTTCAGCTTCTCTAATACAACCCCTCATCAAAGAATTAAGCAAACAAGTTTCTACAATACTGGTACTATTCTAACCCGAGAAAACACAGATCCAGCATAAGAGATTAAACTTAAAGAGCCGTAAAAACCAAGAAAAAGAAAGAAAAACAACTCAAACACTGAAAAGAGTGTGATTCTTCTTCAAAAAAAGAAAAAAAAACCTACAAAAGAAACAGGATTAAAGAAAAACCTGATGGATAGGAGGGTACATAGAATTGGTACAAACAGGACATTCAAGGAGCTCATGAACACTGGTAGTGCTTGGATGAACCGCTGATGATACACTGCTGCTGTTGTTGTTATTCCCATTGTTGCCACGGGGTTTCGACAATGAAGGCAACTGGTTATGATGATGGATCTCATCATCATCGATCACATCTGAATATGTCATACAATCGATGCTATCTGGTTCCATGTGAAAGAAGATAAAAAGCAATTAAATGTGATCGGCGATTCCACAATGGGTATAATTCCTTTCTGGAAAAGAAAGAAGTGGTCTTTTGATTGGATTAGTTAAATTGAAGAACAAACAAAGAATGAACTGGGTAGAATTAGAAACCTGATAAAAGATTAATTGACAAGAGAAAGGGAAAAAAAAACTACCATTTCACTTATCTTGTGGTTTTCTTCATTGGAAGGTGTCACCGTCTAAAATTTTCGGAGACATATGATCAACATCAAAGGGTTTCAGGTAAAAGAGAAAGCTTTACCAAAAGAAAAAAAATTATAAAGTAAAAAAATTTGTGACCGCATGCTTAATATATTGGGAAGGGAGAATAGGGACCACAACCAGGGGGGTCTCAATCTCAAGGCTGAAGATGATACGACTTATTTTGATGGATTCACATAATTATAGTGGATGATGAACTACTCGCCTACTGCTCCTAGTAGTATTTACGTAGTATTAAAGACAAGTTTTCAACTTTCTATACTTCAATTAAGTTACCACTGTTAATTATAATTATAATTATAAAAGTTGGAATATGATTGTGCGGTGAGTTGTCTCCATTACCCCGATTCTTGGCTTCTTGCTACCTATTTACTGCTAGTGGGCGCTGCACATTAAATTCTATCTCAAGTCTCAACCATGTCTTACCCAAGACTTGGATTAAGTTTATTAAATGAGATTGGTGAAACCCCTTTTTTATTTAAAATATTTTTGTATATTCCCTGGTTTGGTATTTTATACTAAAATAATGTTGCGAGAAGAAGGATTTGGGTGGTTCACTATTTTTAAAACCGTAAAGAATAACGTTGGAGCCAACACCACCATTGGGTAGGTTAGACATGAGATTTTATGTTATAGATAAACTCAAAAAATTTTGAGAAAATTTATAAAATTTTAAAAGATGAATACATATTATCAATAAAAAATAAAAAATATTTAAAATATATAAGAATTTATAATTTTCAAGGAAACCATTTACCTTATTCCGCCTTGTTCCATCCATGCATGTTGGTATTTAAGAAAAGCGGTGGGATATGACTCATGAGTTACCCTTTTATGAATGGCGAAAGCATGGTGTTTCAGGTGGAGGAAAAAAAATGCAGTTTCGATTTTATAGTTGAATCCTAATTTTTACTCTATGATTTTTGTTTGAGAATTTATGCTATTTTTGGAAACTGAATTATACAAAATAGGATGTCTCCATCAGATCAACGTCCCCCCGTATGTTGTCATCGTCGTGTATAAATACTGTGATAACAACAGCATAAAGAGCTTACTTGGGTTCAACGTTACTTCCATTTGAAAGGCAAATAAGGTTAATCAGCTTAAAAGAATTTTAATCTTGTAAATGTTGGTATTTGTTTATCATTTTCTTAAAAAATTACATGGACTAATTGAACTACATTCCGGGATTCCAATTCTAATAACTTACATTAAACTTGAAGTTAGTACTTTTTTTATATTTACTGGTTTGATAAGGAAGGTAACCTGCTCACCCTACTACATTAACTAACACCATTGGTCGCCCAATCTGCCATATAAACTATGCAGAAGACAGTTCCAACCTGCTTCCAATGTCCCAAATCCGAGCTGGTTTGTTGGATACAAAGGCAAAACATACCTTTTGGTTCCTCCTGGCTTTGTCTGTTGTTAGTAACATTACAATAAGTTGTCTATTGGAAGAACTTGTTTGTACCAGTAATACCTCAAATTTTGATTAGTGACTAAAATGTAATATTTGAAAGTTTGACACTTAAAATATAAACTTTGTAAAAGTTTAGGGACCAAAAATATAATTTTTAAAAGTTATATATTTTAGCTTGTAAATAAACAGTTTGACATAAAACAATGATTTTTATAGGAATCAGATTTTGGGTGCGGAATTTGTGTTAAAAGTTATAAAACGATAAAGTTCGGTATTGAAATCGGATAATCGGATCAAACCAAAATTTTACAAAAATTTGAAAAATGTTAGAAAATGGTTGGAAAGATCATTTCCATATTTTAGATCAAAGAAATATGGCTCAAAATATTGTAATTTTTTAGATTTGACCGAACAGTGAAATTTTAGTGTCTAAAATATAATTTTAAAAAATGGCCAAAGTGAAAAGACAAAGTCAAGTTGATTCATCTTTGACTAAAGAATATTTTAATAGAAGATAATAAAATGAAATTTGGTAATTATCAAGTTTCATTAATGATATTTTGATATTTCTCATTAATTGGATTTTAAATTCAATTATATTATTAGAATGTTATGTATCAAGGTTAATAAATATTAGATTAATCAAGAAAATTAGCACAAAATCAACTCCTTCTTTAAGCTTGGCTGAAACCACTATTTCTCCAAGATCTAGATAAACTAGTGATTCAAGTAACTCTAAAGAAAAGGAAGGATACAAAATTTAGAAGATTATCGTGGAGAAGATTCGAAAACGAGGCAAAGGTGAATGCATTTAACTTGTATTTATGTTATCAAATAAACACTGGCTTACGATGAGCTAATGTTGGAGTTACGTTAAGAAGTGATTCCTAGTGTTATGTAAAGTGTGATTTAAGCCTATATGTTTATTTAATAAGCTAATAGAATTAGTAAATAAGTTAAGGACGCTAGTTGGTGAAATCTACTTAAACAATTATGTTCTGAACTGTAAGTTTAGATAATCACCAGAAAGTCTACAAAAATGATTGAAGGATGAATCTTATACCATTATATTCGTATATCAATCTAGTTTTGTTTGAAACAAAGACAAATGATTTCAATATGTATACAAAAAATAGGAATTTTTAATCGGTGATGGATAAGAAAACAAGACAGCAGATTCTGTCCAAAACAGCTTTTGTCAGTCAAATTTGAAAATTTGTTATAAATTGTACAAATGGAACTAAATGGAGTGCCTTATATGGTTAGATTTTTATTCGAGTCTAGTTTTCATTGATACAAACATAATAATTTTTCAATATGTAGATTAATACATAATAATATTCTTTTAAGGTAGTACAAACTGCTAGAATATGAAATTTTGATAAATTGTGTAGTAGAAGCAATTTAAAGTAAAGGATTAAACTTAAAGCTAAGTGAGACTTATATTTTGATTTATAAATAAAGTGTTGAAGTTAGTGAAAAGTATTTATTTATTTGATTATTATGATCGAGGATGACTTGCGATAAGTCAATCTCATATTATTTTTCAAGTACGATTTATAAGTTCTTAGGATAGAATATTTTCATAATTTTTTTCATCAAGTTTTATGAATATTTTTGGGTATGAACTGCCCAAATACGATATTTACAATGATGAATTCTAAATGTTTACAATTATAAGATAGTTTACAATTATCAAACATTTTTCAGTTATCAGATGTTTTACAATTATCAGACGTATATTAATAAATGATATTATGATGATAAATATAATCTCATTGTATGTTGTATTGAGAGTCCTAGGTACATTTGGCATGCTATTAAGTTAAGTACTTTTCAAGTTATGATTGCACTGAAGTACATCATATATCAGTTTCAGTTTAGCTATGGTACATTCGTGTGCCCTATGATCAGCACCGTTAGTGCACAGGTTATGACTGAACTGAAGTGCATCATATCTCATTTTCAGTTATGATACACTGTGTTGTGCCTAGTGCGCATCTTATACTCACATACCTTGTATTCTCTTACATATACACTGAGTTATAACAGTAAATGTGAAAGTTATGATAGTATATGAAAGAAATGAATATATAATTGAAAGAAAGTTCTGAAATATGTTCGAATGAAAATAATAAAAGTTATTTATGATATTTAATGATGACTTATATGATTTTTAATAAAATCATGAGATGATGATTTTTAGGTTTTCAGAAGGAAACGGCTTGACTAGCCCGATTTGAAGTTTTATTTTTTTTATTTCAATTACAGTTTATTGCCTATATTTTATGGAATTTATGTTTTAGCTATACTTTTGCATCACTAAGTTTTACTTAGCGCGTAATGATTTTCATGCGTAGGTTCGAATATAGTAGATGACGTGAAGTGAGAGCTTGCCAGCATCTTATGAAAATCAAACTTATCGATAATATCAATAAGATATCCTAAATTTGACTTATTAGTGGCATGTACATTATATTTGTTGGGTTACTTTATCAAATTTATATTAAAAAGGGTATGAAATAGCAATTTGGAACCGTTTTAATGTTCGATTAATTTTAGTTATAATCATATTTATAAATGAATATTTTGACTGATTTTAAATGTTTTTAAATTAAGAAGTATTTAAGCAGTGGTATATATAATTATGAACAGAGATGGATTGCCTGCTTACTGATTGAAATTAGACTTGTTTTCAGTGATTAAATTTATTTTACAATTTTATATGAATAAGATTAAAGTTTTTAAATTGAAACAAAGAAAGTTTAAAAAAGGAAATGAGATTTTAAGTCTTTATGCTCAGTAAATATTTGTCAAGTTGATATGACATCTATGAGTCGTATATCGAGACATATATGGGCTATAAGTGTTACAGTACCTATCCACATTATGCATACAATTTTATGACGATACATCCTTTGGCTTAGCCATAGTAGTATAACTGAACAGAGTGTCAGTGAACTGTTCGTGAATCATTTGTATAACTTTTGTTTATGTTCGATTGTTAAGCTAAATAAAAACTATGAAATTTTTATGTTCATTTAACAAACGAAAAAACATAAACAAAAGTGTTTTTGGTTCATTTATGTCCACAAACAAATACATTTATTAGCTCGTTTATCGACTCATTCGTTTATGTTCATGAATAAGTTCATTTATAAGCTTGTTTAATGATTCTTGTAGAAGCTCATTTATTTGGTTCTCCTTATCTTTTTATTTTTTCTACATTTTAAATATTGATGGAGGTAAAGGCTAAATTGAACACTTAATGAAATCTAGAGTTTAAATTGTGAATTTTAATGAGTTTAAGCACTAGTGACATAATTTACCATTTTTCTTTAACTTTCAAATGCATTTATAAAAACTGAAAATTGAATGTATATAAACGAACACTAAATGAACATGTTCACAAATACTAAAGAAACATGGTCATGAACATATAAATGAACATGTTCATAAACGTTAAACAA